GAAAAAACCTTATTTTAGTACAAGTTGGATATTGATTATTCTCCTCCCTACACAATTTTTTTTGGAGCAGCCCTTTGTATTTAAAGGGGAAAAGAACCTTTTTGCTGCACAAGTTAAAATTAATTTTACCAGAACATGTTTCATTCTAACACATCTAATGAATTATTTTGTGCAGTTACACCATCTGATTACCAACCTCCTGGTTTTAAGGAGGGTGAATGCGAAGGGATGATATTTGAAGGGGAGCCCATGTATCTGAATGTGGGTGAAGTGCCAACGCCTTTTCATATGCTGAAAGTTAAAGTTACAACTGAAAAACAACGAATGGAAAATGTTGATAAAAGCATCCTGAAGCATGGAGGGACTAATGTGCCCCTCCAGGTGCTCAAAGTGGACAGAGAAGATGCAGAAGAGGAGAACCAGGACATGAATGTAAGAGCACACGTTTTGTGTAGCTTATTTTACTGCATGTCTTACTATAACATTAATTAAAAAACTGTTTCCAGATATATTTAAGCACGGCAATATGTCTTCAGTACATTTTTGCTTTAATTTTACTGCTCCAGTTAGCAATCAGTCATTGTTAAAGCAATATTTAACAGGGGCATCAGCATAATGCCTGTCAGCAGCAGCATTGTTGGCAGTCACACTTCTCTGCAAGACTAGAGAGGAGCAGCAGGGCGAGAAGCAGAGGGGCAACTCCTGGGGCACAAGTGAAATCTCCCTGGAGCTGGCCCATAGCAGTCCCAAGCGAGCTGCTGCAGCCAGGCAGTATTTGCCTGGCAGTAAATTTGCTCTGGCATCCTCTTGTAGAGCAGTATATGTGCAGCCAGTGATGCCACAGCTAAAGTTAAAACAACTTCTGTATTGTGATTTTTCCCTGGGGGTACCTACCTAGAAAAAAGCACCAAGTGAAGCTTGCTGAAGGCGTGAGCGTGTGACAGACATGTGCATCCTACTGCTGATGTGGAGTGCCTGAGGTGACTCTTGGGGCTGTGTTTATGCAGGCTGCAGCAATCAGAGACCAGTATTTTTGGGGTCAGTTGAGATGGGCAGCAAATACCTGTAGTCATGCTGGAGTGTACAAATACATACGGTGATCTATACTGTCCATAGGTGAGAAGGAGGCGGAGCTTCACGGCTTTTGGCCCCTTCCCCTCAAATTACCATCACTAGGAGGTGATGAGATGGAAAGAAACTGCTTGACCCTCTAAATCTGCATATGCCTCTGAACTGCTGTTTCACAGCAGTAGGAAGGCAGTAGTTGATGCGCTGACAGTATTCTTTTGATATCTATTGTTACAACTTTAGTATTTCTTTACAGATGTTTTTTTTGGTAGTTGAATTAAATGTGTGCTTGCATTAATAATTAAGTAATGTTGAGCTAGTCTGTATGTTCCATCTCAGATTCAATTATTTCAATACAGTGTGTTCCACTGAGCATCCTACTATTAAGCTCTTGCCCTAAGCATAGGAGTACAAACCCACTTACTTGTCTGCAGTAAGTGACAGACCTTTTTCTTAATCTAGGAAGATCCTGTCTTGGAGAATAAAGTGGAAGATAGGAGTATTGTAAATATTTCAGAAGCTCAAGGTAACATTTATATATATTTTTCAAGTCTCTTCAGTTCGTGCCTCTTTTTCCCGCTGTTTCTTAAATGAAAACTCAATTTTCTGACATAGACCACTATATTCAAATTTACATTCTGTTTTCTTCATGTACATCACTGTGCCTCTATTTCCTACCATGGCTTTGTTCTGTGAAGCACTTGGTTAGCAAATGCACTTTTTCATCTTTCTGTTCTAAAATTCTGATGTTCTGTTCCATTAAATCAGATAAGCTAAATTTAATGGGTTATATTTTTAAAAGAAAATTTTGTTGTTTGATTTTTTAAATTATTATTGTTGTTTTGTTATTAAGTTTTTACTAATATATTTAATTTCCACATAAGACTTGCAGAGGTATTGTGCTCTTGAGTTCATTATTGTAGACTTGGGGAGCAGAATTCTCTATGCAAAAAACGGTCCAGGTTTCTTTTTGTTTAAATGACAGCTGTTTGGACTGTATTGTCACAGCTTCAGCCCCTAAATTTAGCAGAAATACCACTTTCAGACACCTTTTTTCCTTAAGCTCTGACTACAGTGGGACCACAGTCTGATTCTGCAGTCCATACGTGCCTCAGTCTGTAGCTGTGGAGGAATCAACACATTGAGGCTTGTGAACACAGAAGAGTTTTTATGTAAAGATGTAAAAATACCAATCTGTATGATGCATGTTCTTCTGTACGAAGGAAGCTGTTCATTACTGTGGTTTGGCTGTTCCTGGTACAATCAGTAATTTAATCTCAAAATATGTGTTGTTTTATGAATGATTGTATGATTATGTCTGTGCTGCTGGCTATTTTAGTGCCTCTTCTAGCTGCTTGCTTTTTACAGCTTACTCTGGACCTGTGTGCCCTTTTCTCTTACCGCGTACATGGAGCATTTTGATAATTGCAAGTGAACTTTTTGAACTTTAGTTCTAATAGGTACAAGTTCTAGCAAAGCACTTTTGTTAGTATGAATCTCAGCAAACTGAGTTTCCTCAAGTAAAATCCTAATACCATAAAATCTGTCAATGTAGAACTACGCAAACAATATGAGTAGTAGCCAAAAGTAAATTCCAGGTGGAAGCCTATGAGGCAGCACTTCTCAAGAAAGTACCAAAACCATTTAGTTCTGGTTTATTAAAAAAAAAATAAATCATATAACAATGATCTCCAATCCAAAACACGAGACAGCAGTCTCTGTCCTCAGGGATCTCTGTGAACAGAAGCTTCCCTTTAAGATTTTAGAGAAGCTAGGAGGAAAAGTAGATGATTTATCTTCAGATTCTCCAAGATGATCCAGGGGCTCAAAAATTGAATTTTGCTACCAAATGAACTGAAAAATGAACTACTGCTTGTTGATCTGCTCACCTGAGAGAGGCTGTGTAGGAAGCATCCAGACAATACTGGTACCCATTTGCTGTACAAAAAGCATGTGAAAGAAAGATCAAAACAGGAAATAAGTTCCCTTTTTGGAAGAAGATTAAGTAGAGATGATGTAGCTGAGTATGCTCAGAAATGCTCTGATATGCTGATATAAAATAAAATAGCTAAATGAACACAGTTCTCAAGACTGTGAAGTAAAAAGCCAAGCTTTATGACCAATATCAGGGGGGAAACACATTTATTTAGATGAGAATCCGATGTAAGATGTTTTTGGGTTTTTGGTTTTTTTTTTCAGCAGCAGCAATATAGGCTTCTGTGGAGCTAATGAATATATGGCATTCCTAGAAGAAATGCCCATTAGTGCTGCTGCTTGCTCTCTTCACTCGTCTTAACGCATTTCCCTGAAGTTGCATCTGCTTTGAAATACTTCTCCGGTTCTGCAGACTTCAGAAGCACCAATTTTCTATAACAACTTCCAGACACGTTGCTTTCCACATAACAACAAAAGTGGCAACTGTGTCAGTGTTGAGGCTTTTGGTCCTCACAACCTGAACACCACTAGCAGCTTGTTGGGGCAGCCATGGTGTCTGAGTGCTTGCAGAGACAGTCACACAAAGCAAGTGGAGCCTGGATTTAATTTTTTTTTTTAAATGGGTTAGAGTGTCCTGTCATTCAAGCCCAACACTGAACAGGTTGCAATGTGTATTTAAATAGTGGCATTAATGTGGTGGTTTGTTTGGGTTTCCCCCCCCCCCCCCCCCCTACCAAAAAACACAACATTCTCAAACAC